ATGTGAGCCAGCGCTGTGTTTAGACGAATGCTTCAAGGCGTCACCTGCTTGCATTGCCGAGATACCGGGCGTTCATATTATAAGGCAAGGTTATAAAACCATCTTTTAAGATCATTTTAGTGAAAGTTTCATCCTTCAAGGCGTACCATTCACTGCTCAAATACTAAACAACCTGCTTCCATTGCTGAGATACAGGGTGCTCATATANCCTATAGCAATCTGGAAATGGGATGGTCCAGTCTTATAAGTGACTGTTCCTTTGAGTCCAAACTGAATGACCTAATGATAGTAAGATCACAAAATTTGCAAAACCCCGATTGATGTAAGAGATCCATAGATTCTTGAGATTTTCTTGACATCTATCTGACTGACAAAATTATAGAGACTTTATTTAAAATGTTGTGTGCTGGCAATATATATAATGTGTAGTCATGTATGTATTTGGGCGGTCTGCATTATCTTGCTACTTGTTGCAACACTAGCCATAAGAGCAATAGCCTCTTTGTAATGTTCGACAGCCCATAGTGCCAAATTTGGGTTAGTGGATTCTTATCTGCTCTCCTTCTTTGTGTTTTTGTTGCATGATGTCTAGGAAATTTATATGATGCTGCTGCTGCTCTAGTCTTGTCCAAGGCTGTGGTTGTTCTGTCCAAGATGTCTCATATAAGACATTATCCTGTATTCTTAAAGAAAAGGCTTTATTGCCAAAGATGGTTTAATCATATCAGAAAGGAACTTAGAAAGTACATTTAAACAAATTACATTTTCATAGTAGCTTTCCTGAATACCTGAAGTAATTTTTATAACCCCATGGTTGAGTTCTTCTGAAACTACACTGTAGCATTTTCTGCACCAGATCTAGTTGTTATGTCACCATGGCTTGATTACCAGATTCTCCTCTGTGGAAATGTATATGCACCACCTAAATGTGAAATTGTGTTACACATACTTTGTTAATCTTAGGTGAGGGTATGATAGTAATATCTCATCAAAAACTCAGTAGTGGGTCATAAATATAGTATGGTATGTAAGTACTGAAAATAAAGTACATTATATAATTGAATCCACTTGTCATTTGTCTTGAGCTTTGCTGTCTTGTACCTCTACTTTGTTTCATTCAAGATTAGTGCTAGGGGACAATGAGTCAGAAACTCACATAATGGAAGCCTTCATAATCCATAAGTAAATAATATCTTGAAAAATAAACTTGCTTGCCTTGTAATTGCAGGCATAGTAGGCGTGCTAGCATTCCTCTGAGCCAGCCAGTTTTGATTAACCCTTCTCAGTTTCATTTCACTTTTCCAACTCTTGGAGGCTGAGCCCCATGGCATGAGCAGACTTCTTAATTCCAGCTCAGTGTAACAGACACTGCTTTCTCTCTACCAAACCCTCCCTAGTTGGTGAGAGGAATTAAGATATTTACTTACATCATTGCCACATCTAATTGGCCCTTGTCTGCTGCCAGTCCTCTTTTCCTTCCTTCATGTATTATTATTATTTCTACCTTATTCCATTACGTCTATAGTAGGCTAAAGCCTTAGATACAGAATTGTGTCAATTTATCTTGCTAATACTATTAAGCAATTGTCAAAAAGACTTATAATATATGACAATTTTTGTTTACATCATAATACAATTACTCTTTAGCACAATACACTCAAAATTATCATTTAAAATAAAAACTTAAGATAAAAGTTTCCGTGAAAAGTAACAGAATATTTTGGTCATATAACTTTAACATATACAACAAATCCAACATATAAAAACATTCAATTATAAGTATGTTTATCTTACATTCACTATGATTATCCATGGCCATGACTAAGGCCATAATCCATGCATAGAGGAGAGACATTCTGCTAGATTACAACTTGTGCTGTCATGTTAAAGTTGGTTTGAAAAACAGAGGAATCTTTATATTGCATAACCTAACCTGTACATCTCATGAATACAGGAATGACAGTCATGCACCAGCCCATGTAAATGCTGAGGGTGATTTAATTTATCATATTTTATAGCAAATCCTGAAGAACTGTGTTGACAGTTTGTACATGGCAGCAGTTGTGGAAACATCAATAGCACATCAGTGTTACATGTCACTTCTGGCCCTAGTTATCAGTCATTCTATAGCTGACAAAATAAATGAAACTTCTTTGTAAGTAAACAATAATTCTGTTATTATCTAATTACTGATTTTGTATTTAATATAGCAACTATGTGATGGGATTCATTCATTTCAGATGGGGCAAATACCCTAATACTCAGTGGAAATCCAATTTTATTCAACAAGAAGGTGACACCCTCATCACAGGATATACAGATTTAAAAGAGGTACTTCTGAATTAATTATACGATGGGGTACCCAAAAGAAACCGAACTAATTTTTTTGTGGGCAGAGCTTTTGTAGTACCGCGTTTTGCCGCTATGAGCGCATAGAACCAACATTCCTGAGTCGATAAGCTGACTACCGTTGCTTCAGAAAGTAAGGACTAGTTTCAGCAGAGTTTATAGTGACAACTGTTTTGTGTGATCGTCATTTTTGCAATGGCCCGAACACGTGAAAATGTTGAAAAAATTCGTGAAATCATCAAGGAAGAACGACGAAGGACCATTGAAGAAATTGTGGAGCTGTCGGGAGTGACTTGGAGCTCAGTTCAGCGAATTTTGACGGAAGATTTGGGAATGAAAAAGGTGGCTGCAAAATTCGTGCCACGACTGCTGACTGCTGAACAAAAACAAGGTCGCGTGGAAGCATGCTGTGCTTTGAAAGAAGAGTCCTGAAATGATCAAAACTTTTTTTCAGCGTTTTGCTGATGTTGCTGAGGTGAAGGAAAAAAAACGACGGAGGCGCTGTCAAGCATCTCAAAAGATGAATTTAGACAATGTTTTGAAAAATGGAATAAAAGACTAGACAAGTGTATTAGTGTAAGTGGAGAGTACTTTGAAAGGGATTGAAGGTTTGTGCTTAAAATTTGAACAAATAAGTTTAAAAAAATAAGTTCAGTTTCTTTTGGGTACCCCCTCGTATATGTTTCACTTAGCAGTCTACCCAGAATCTTGTTCATCTAGGAGTTTTCACATGTTCATGACCTCTCCATTTTTATCCTTTATAAGTGTCATTCGTTTTTTTTTCTCATCTTTCAAATTCTCTTTTCTTTTACTTCAGAAATTTTGGTCTCCAATTTTTGTACTTTTAGTCCTCAGTGAATTATATTAGTTTTGATCATTATATGTTTTATTCTGTCCTCTTTTGTAGAGTTTTCTCATACGACAGGAAAACCATGAAAATTTTAAGTCAGAGTGTCTGGTCTCTATGCAGAGACTTCATTCCAAATATACAGCAGGATTGGCAGAAGTTGTAAGGTTTCACAGCAGGTACCATTAATTTTATTGTGTTGACATCTGTATCTTCACCTTGAAAATGAGAGGTGGCTAGATTCATCACATTTATGACATAACATGTAATCACTGGTATTAATGCAGCAGGAATGTTAACCACCAGCCCATGGAAATTCAGTGTTTACAAAATGGCATCTGCCATTGCCAAGAGCATGGTCGGGAAGATGGTATGCTATCAAACTACTAGCGTTTGTGTACTCCCCCCCCCCCCCACCCCANCAAGAAGAGCCATAAATAATTTTGCAACCCTGACCTCTTGTACTGCAGAGGTTCTTATTCCATTTTTTTTAACTCAGTTTAATATCACTTCACTTGTATTCATCAGGAGAAAGTTTTGCACCAGTGCCTTTAAAGTATGAGTGTTCTAGAATTGCTTGTAATGCTGGATCCATCTTTGACCTGACTTCTGCCACTTCTGTAATGAATATCAGTTTATGGAGCAGTTATTGTTCCACTGTTTATAACCATTAAGCTCTTGAGATCAGTTCTCTGTTCAGTTGTTAGTCACAGCCATGCCACTGCTCACTGCATTCACCCTTTTCCTCGACTGCACTGCATTGAACTGAACACTGAGTGACTGGCTCACTGACTTACTCAGTACGCATTCATTTGCTGTACTCTGAACTGAACTGAAGTATCCCAAGGACCACAGTTACTGTTAAAGCATGTCAGCTGTTGAGAAGTTATTAGTGATTTGGGCTATCTTGTACTTCAGTGTGAGCTGAGTGGCTTTCCAGACCATCCAGATGTCACAGGAGGTGCACAGGCACAGACATTGTGATCCCCCCTGCATGCAACTCCAGTGACAATATTAAAGCAATGAAAGGCCTAATCAATAGCAGACCTAAATTACATTGCACTACAGTACTTTTATAATTGCTTGTTTATGTATGTTACCAGTTTTCTTTTCTCTTTTATAAGATGGTGTCTTTCCTAGTAGATCAGCTACCTCTGTGTTCAACTGAAGGTGTAGCCTGGATAACAATGCAGATTATTGACATGATGCTGCACAAGCCAGATCTTCAAGCATCTGCCCAAGTCTTGAAACCACTGGTACTTCATTTTTCAAACACATATAGTACAGTGGCTGGTCATGTTGTTTTTCTGCTTGAGGTAAGTTGTACCTTGTGTGATGCATTTGGATGGTCCAAACTTATTTTGATAGCATGGCACATTTCATCGATATGCATCATTAATACAGCATCATTTTAATCTTCTAAAATGTATGCCTGCCTATCTATTGCACCTGAGAAGCTAATGATAATTTAGGAGCAAAATCTAGCCATGTAATTTGTACTGGCCAATACACATACAGGGTGTTTCACGACTTTAGGGAATAACTGCAGGAGGTGATTTCCTAGGTCTTTCTGATCAAAAAAGTTCATATAAACATGTGTCCAATTTTGGACGGTTACGGAGTTATGACCGTTTTTTCATTCACGTACACGCCCTCGTGTGAACCGTGGCTATCATCTGGTGGGTCACTATTTTTAGCCAGCTGCAGACAGAGCGTTCTCGTTATCTCGACACTTGAGAGGTACCTAAGGTGTGGTGGGTTGGTATGTCCAGCCACGACTAGTGTGGCGGCTACTGGTGTTCAGAACAATTCTCATCTTGGTGTGTCTGTTACATTCACGATGCCATTTACATTTTCATTTGAGGAGTATGAAGATATGATTATGTGTACGGGTTTTGTGACGGTAACTCAGTTCTTGCCATAGCTGAATATCAGCAACGGTTTCCGAATCATAGAATACTGAACTGGAGAGTGTTTACTGGAGTTTACCAGGCATTGCGAGATACCGGTAGACTTCCCGGTGTTTGTGTTGCAGCCGAGTGTGGTGTTAATGAAGACGTCAATGAAGAAGACATTGTTTGTATGGTACACCGCAGTCCACGTGCGAGTACGCGAAGAATTGCCAGCCAGGTCTCCAGACTTAAACCCACTGGATTATTGTGTGTGGGGATGGATGAAAGAACTGGTTTACAATGTGAAGGTGGCAACGCGAGATGCTTTGCTCGGTTGCATTCTGGATGCCGCTGACCACATAAGAAACAGCCAGCTGAAGCTGCTACATGCTACCCGTGCGGTTCACAACTGAGCGGCAGACTGTGTTGTGGCCGGCGGTGGCATTNTTTTGATCACAAAGACCTAGGAAATCACCTCCTGCAGTTATGCCCTAAAGTCGTGAAACACTCTGTATTTGCCTCTGTTCTCTTTCTTTTTCCTCCGTTGGTTACATTTTCAAGTCTAGGAGCTTCAAAGAGGACATGATGTTTGTCATTGAAACAGGTGTCAGTATATTGAAATGTCATATTTCTTCACATACTTTACACATTCTTACTCATATGTTTGTGTCTATCAAAATACTACTTCTCAGAGTATTATTTTATTCTTGAACTTGATTTTATTATGGTTGAATGCAGTGTTGCAATGTAGTATGGGTATGCACATCTATGGAGTTCACAGCACTATTCCTTGATGAACATTGAGAAGCTGATGTTGCTTGGTAACATTTTGAATGACACAGTCTTCACGGAAGCTGCAGTTAAGTTGATTACTTTATTACGGCACAGTATGGATGTTTGCACCCATGGACTTCATCACATGATTCACTGATTGGCATTGGACAGCAGTTCCCTGTGATAAAATTTCAAACAACACATATACCCCCCCCCAGAAGTAGAAAGTTAAATTTCCTGATACCCTGTTGCTGTAATGCATTTAACATAAATCACATTTTCCATAAAAATTAGGAGTCAGTCAAAATGTTATCAAGAGTAAAAAATTTCTTATTTAATTCCCTTTCTAAAAATTTATCTTCTAGAAGTTGTAGTTCAAAAGTTATGTGGAGTCATTAGTTATGAAGCTTTCTTACTCTGTAATCAGCCAAGTGCCAGGTTAGAGGTGAAACCCCAACCTAAAAACTACAGATATGATAATGTGCTGCCTGGTCAGGAGGGTTGCACACTTCAGGGGACAGTGTAACATGAGTAGGGAGCAGTGGTAGAATAATAATTAGCAAGGGAACACTGAAGAAACTTACGAAGAAACCTTCTCCAGTGCCACTTTGTCCATCACAGATTTCTTATGAAGTCACCCAGGATTGAACCTGGCCTCTGCAGTGAGAAGTGAGTGTCTAACTGCCTTGGTTATATTTAATTGAAATGTTACATTTTCCCTGTCACTGATGCACAAATTTCACAAATCAGTTTGCAGAAGACCAAATTTGATTGAAAAATTCATTCAAGTTTATACTTACAGAATCTGTCAGGACATGAAAGTGACAAAATCCAAATTCTAATATTTGTGTTCTTGAACATTTAGTTGAAAGATTTTATGGAAGAGACTGAAACGTGAAAAGGTCTTGAAGACTGAAATTTGGTTTTTGGTAGGACGTACCAACTCAAAGACACTATAACAAATATATCAGATGACAGTTATATATATTAAATACTAAATGCGAATACAGTGTAAGTCCCTGGAGGTAATAGGCCTCTGGCAATCAGCCAATCAAAATCGTACAGACCAGAAAAAGTGAACCGACTGAACAGTTCAAGCTCCCACAACAGAATTGAACATTCTCGTTGGACCTGAGCCGTCGGGAACCAGAAAGTGGAACAGTGGAAAGGGGAAGGTAGTAGAAAGGGGGGACACCCTCTGACATAACGCAGACATGGCGTTTCAAGACCCTTGAAACTCCTGATCTGTAAGAGAGGAGTTTTGGAAGAGAGTCTTCATGATGTAACTGCTGACATAATCATTTCTCTCTTTTAATGTATCATGCAGTTAGTGGTGGGTTTATTATGAAGTGGTAATCTGACAGTGCACATTTGTGCAAGTAGCAGATCTGGAAATATTTTGAGACAGTATGCCTTTCATCACATTATAAATTTTCAGTGGTTATTGTTTAATATCAAAATAAAATGTCTTTTACTACAGCTTGACTCAGACCATTTTTAAAAGAAGTTGTAGGGACTGCAAATGTAAGTTGTTTGTTTGGTTTCAGCAGTTTTAATACTTTAATGACATTTGTGTTTGTCTATCCAGAGCCATCCCTGTTTTAAGAGTCTTTTAGGATTATGAAATTTCAGTATCAATTTAAATAATTACAAATGCACTTTCATTGTTTTAGAGTTCTTTTTCAGAACTGTTGCCCTTTGAGTCTATATTTAAAATTATTTTTGTGATCTTTCGGAGGCACGCGGTAGCATAGTTGGTTGAGGCACTACTCTGCAAGCCAGAAGGTTGCGGAATCGAATCCTGATGAGGTGGAGTTTCTCAATTTACCTAATCCTGCCAGCTGCACTATGGCCCTGTGGTTGACTCAGCCTCTAACAGAAATAAGAACCAGGAATATTCCTGGGGGTAAAGGCGGCCGGCACGTAAGGCTGACAACTTTACTGCCATCTGTGAGCCGATTGTCTAGAAAATGTGGGAGCCTTAACATCTCACAGCTCTGTGAGCCTCCACAGCCTCTTATGGGGATACCTTTACTTTACTTTACTTTACTTTGTGATCTTTCATTCCTTTCAAGTTTCCTCTTCAGCATTGTATATAAATTTGTTATGTGTGATATCTGTGATTCTATTGTTATAGCTTAATTTTTATATGCAAAGGTTTGTTAAAGTAAACAGATGGAAATGTGCAAGTTGTCTGAACTGAATGAACGCTGAGTAAGACATCAGGAATATACAAAACTTTGTGTGTAGAAAAAAGAAATACAGTTTATGGTAGCAAGAAATAGAATTGTGATATGAATGTACATCAGGGTGAGGCGGGGTAGAGCAGTCAGTATAGCAACTGCCTATGGGCTGGACGACTGAGGGGTTGGAGTTAGAATCCCAGGAAGATCAGAATTTCTCTTCTCCTTATTTTCCAAACCAGCTCTGGGGTCCACCCAACCTCCTGTCCAATGGGTACTGGGCGCTACTTCCCTGGGGGTAAAGGGACGGGGGCATGAAGCTGACTAGTCGCATCCAGCTAGTGCCGAGGTCAAGAAAATGTGGAGCTATACATCCACTCCCCCATACTCCTTCATCGCGTAGTGCTTAATTACTTAAACACAGGAACAGCTTTACCTTTATCTTATGTATGTCAGAAGTCAAAAAGCAAAATAGGTACCAAGAAATCTCTGTGATGTCTGTTATAATGTAGAATGTCTGTTTGTTCTGTTTCAGAAACATTTAGGGAATTTAATTTTTCAAGAAAAGGATATGATACAACTTCTGCAGCAGTTGCTCCTAAATTCAAGCCATCCATCTCTATCAGCTTCTACACGTCTTCTCTACTTGGATTGGCTCAGTGATTATCTTTCCAGGAGACCTGAAAAAATAGCTAGTATACAAGATGTTAACTTTGTTTTGCCTGGCAGCTTTGATGGGCCAGAAACACATCTAAAAAAGTTGAAGCTGTTAAGTTCTCTTTTAAAAAATAAGAAAGGTAGTGTGATTGTTACATTAGAGTAGATAAAATCTCAAATACACAAACATTTCTGCAATTTTTTATCTTCTGAAACAAATGTTTGCTTCTGTTATGTCTATGTAACTATAATTCTTTAGGACTTACTGTCATTTTTATGTCATGGAAGATTAAGTAGCACCGCAGTTTAATGTGTTCATTATCATCTTTTATGGGTTTTTCAGAGTCCTCAGTACCACTTCTGCATGCACTGGCCACATTACAGAAACAAATGAAGTGTAAATCATCCATCAAACTAAAATCAGCACTGATAAAGGTCTTGTACAGATATTTATGTGACCATCATAATGTAGATATGTCTGCTGAAGTACCAAGGTATGTGTAATGTAATGAATAGAATATCCGTATAATCATATTACAGAAGTAATTAAATGTATAAAGTGAGTCTACTTATTGTAAACATGAGGGTAGGCAAGAACAGAAGTTCTGATGGTGTCTACTTTCTTTTAACTCTTTGACTGGCGCGAAGGGTATTTAAATCCCACCCCTGTCCTGGCAGGCCCTTTAAACCTTATGTCGCTAAAATGCATGTTGTTACTTTTTCCTAAACAACTTCAACAAAAATTGGTTTTTAAAAACGAAATTTTTAGGAACTAATTAAAATACAATATTTTATGCAATAAATGCTTTTCCACACCTCTTTCTTTGTTTTTCTTCGTGTGATAAACATTGAAACATGAAAGTTTGCAGAGAGCCACACCACAGCCTGCACACATGATACTTGTTTCTTTTCTAACCTTGTGATTAGCACTCACGCGACACTTTCTCAGGGCACCATTCTTCTTATTGTTACTGTTAGGAACATGGACCATTTTGTGAATTTTCAAGCCACCCTCTAGACGATTTGCTGGCTCTTTCACTGGTGGTCTTTTCAAGGTCGAGGGCGGAGGCGTGACTGCACTCTAGTCTGACCCAATAGATTCGTCATCCACTTCATTCCTTGACTTTTCTCCCTCTCCACACTGTTTGTTTGGTTCAGTCATTTTTCTACACAGTCCAATATAAAATCTTTGAATCTGTAATTTCTCTTCTTGTATTTTTCGTTTGTTGTGTTCTTTTTGAATAGAATGAAACTATTCAACCGCAAAGACATGTTTTGTCCAAACCATGGGTGTGAAATATGGGCCTAGTGGACAAATATTCTTCAATTTCAGGGCGTTTGTCGATTCCTGTCATGAACACAATTCCTAAGTATGTCCAGATTTCATCTGATGTGACATAATTGTAATTGTGTTTTCGAGAGTGAGGAGCTAACTCATGTGCGTTGAAGTGCTGGTGAGCATAGCGATTGGTTTCAGTTGTGATGTGATTTACCAAGTCGTCATCCAGAAAAAATTTTAATCCATGAAAAGGGATGCATTTTATGTGTTATATCAATTTTGATCCCGAAACTATTAGCAAATGGAAGTATTGGGGGTACAATGTCTCCGTACGTTCATGAGATGGGCGTGTCAGGCACCGCACTCGTGGTAGGTAAATGTTCATGATTACTGTCTTGTGGATCATTGCCTATCACTGTATTATTGTCACTATCAACTTCATCCAATTCAGGAATCATTATTTCATCGCCACTATCATCATCAGAAAAAATCTCGTTCACAACATTTTCCAGCTGGTCTGTAGGAAAACGAAGACACTTGCTGCAAGAAGCTATGGTGAAACTGAATGAATGTGAAATATTTTCTGACCTTTACCTTCTCAGAGGGTTCTGACAGTAATATAGATCTCCACAAAGTTTACAAGGGTTCTTTACAAACATGCACAAAAACTATCATAAATATGTCTTTGGTTGATGAGTGCCAAGAGAGCAAAGAAGGGACGAGATTGTCAAAGCGTTAGAACACGCCAACGCCAGGGAACGGCTGGCATCGTCCGGGCGTTAAAACACGCCCGCGCCAGTCAAAGAGTTAAGTTCTTCTGTCTGCATAAAGATATGAGCAGAAATTACATATGTATTTTCAAGAGTAACACATATTTCACTTTTATTCCATAAATACAAATTTGTATAACAAAATATACAGTTCTGCAATGTAATCACCATTCTGCTTGTTAACAGTTTCCAACATTTCGGTGGGTCTAGCATTCCTGTCAACGGGTCCTCATTGTCTATATATCATGTAGCTTGGGGTGCTTCTGTGGACATGTGCTTCTTAATGCAGGCCACAGGCATATTGATCAGAATTTTTGAGCAGAAAGAAGACTGTTGATCTGTTTGCTTCATGGGCAGTTACCTCACATGTGATGTGACAGTTTTCGTGTGAAAAAATGTTGAACCACATGGGTGTCCTGATTGTTGCTGATGGCTTCCTCCCCTGACCAACTGTGGTGCCTACAGACCCTAAGATATTTTTCCTGCCTATTTCAGATCCTAATTGGGGCACGCAGTAGCGTAGTTGGTTGAGGCACTATGCTGCAAGCTGGAAGGTTGTAGGTTCAAGCCCCAATGAGGTCATTGGATTTTTTCAGTTGACCTAATCCTTCCAGCCACAATATGCCCCTGGGGTCGACTCAGCCTCTAACAAAAATGAGTACCAGAAATTTTCCTTGGGAGTAAAGTGTGGCCAGTGCATAAGGCTGGCAACCTTACCGCCATCTTTGAGCCGATTGTCTAGATAATGTGGGACCCTCAATGTCTCACAACCCTATGGGCCTCTGAGGCCTGTTACAGGGATAGCTTTACCTTTTCCTTTTATGTCAGATCTTAATTATATTGGAATAACACAAACAAGGGAAACAAATACAGTCTTCATACTAAGAAATCTGTCTCATCTGACATTAGAATCTGAAAGATTTCATTATCCTGTAGCTTGCAAATATGTACTGTGCATTACTTTTGAAATTACCCTCGTATCAATTAACAAGTGTAGAACTGCTTGATTTTTCCTTGTACAGAAGTGCTGCTCATATAAATTTCCATTATTTCAAAGATATGTGGTATAACCTCAGATATTTATTGTATCACAGTATTTGTAATGTTTAACTCACAAAAGTGAGTTTATGCAGAAGTATTAGACATATCTATCAAATATAGGCATACTCATAATATTATGGTGTATAGACTTGTAGCTTAGTAGTGACTCTGTAAACAACAGCTGTTGCTATGCAGTAGGCAAATGAACAAACCCAATTATATGCAACGGTTGAGGTATTGTTGGACTATATCAATGGAAATGGTGTTTTCTATCTGGTCCATGCGGAGATGTTATAGGCAGGAAATTTTGAAGAAGTGAGTTGGTTGTTAGAGAGTTGTCAGCATTTCAGTTGATTATAGTGACTTGAAGTAGCTGGTTGGTGAGTGAGAGAGTTCAGTTGTAAGTTGACAAGAATTCTGCAGAGGCAGCTGTGATGACCTGAGCATGGGAAGCTGAGGAATCTCCACTATGTTAAATCTGTTGCCAGGAAACGACTAGTGGAGACTGTAATATACTGTAGTCACAAATCTGTATGTGTCAGAGATTCGTAAAGTGTAGTTCTGAGTGGTGTTTACAAGTGGTCACCAATCCATACCCTGTCTACAAGTCACACACCACCAAGAACATGGCATTCTGGTGTCAGAAGTGGTCAGACTGGAAACTGCATCATATCTTGATCATTATACTGCCACATTATGGAGATGAAACAGATGATGGTACGCCCGCTGGCCAAAATAAAGGCTGAGATAAGAACCGACCAAGCAGAAACAGATGCCAGAAAATGAAAATGGATATCACGTTCACAACCTGCCCTAGTTCTCAAATTTCTATTTTAATATTATCATCAAAATTATGCCTAAGTCTCCCAAGTAAATTGTCCTTTGAGATTATTCAGGAGTCCATTATAAGTGAGAAGAATGCAGAGAGAAAGATTACTTTTACCCCCCACTTTTTGCTGTCCTTGAATGAAATGTTAATATTGGTTCTTTCAGAATACTTGTTGCTGTAACTAAAGAAGATATATCATTTGTTCCATTTGTATTGAATTTCATCCATTGTGTGCAAGATATTTTACCAAAATCATCTGTTCCATCTTGTCTTCTTACATCACTTGTAATGGCATTTACTCAGCCTGATAGTGCAGCCACACTTGCTACATTCCACTTTGTTCTGGATATATTCCTGATGGCAGTTACACAGGACTTATGCATCTGTCAGCCAAAGGTATGCTATAAAATAAAAAAAGAACTTACCAGTTGATCCAAAATAATTCCACTGTTAAAAACATATCTATGTAGTTGGTTATTTGTTATGGCTTGTGTGTAATGACACATCACTGCAATATGGCAAGATAATTTTGAATGATGAATAGATGTAATTGAAAGAAAATTGTTATGGTCTATTTGAGATTATTAGACCTGTGTTCAGTTGGGGCACTGAGGAAAGCCATGAAAACTTCAGTCAGGGTAGCCAGTCCCTGACTAATTTCTCCTGAATGACATGATCTCTCTAGCAGTTATCTTAATTCCATTCATAGGCGCCACTGGCAGCTTGGATAGTAGTCAAAAGTTTCTGTATGAATAGCATGGAAATTAAAGTAAGCAGAAATTTTTGTTCCATTCTGTTATTTTGATTGGTTCTTGTGCCAAATATGGTATGACTTATTCTCATTGCAGGCAATATTAAACTACCTGATGAAATATATTGTGTGTGAGGAGGTATGTGGATTATTAAGCTGGATGCTTGGTCACCAGATTCTGTCTTTGTGCTTCAAGCTGATGAGCAATTATGACACAGTTGTGTTTTTCTATGGTGAGTTACAGAATATTGTCTGTGATTCGGGAATTTTTAAATATGTATGGCCTAAGGACTGGCACCCAACTTTTACATAGTGCCATATATCAGGCAAATGAATGTGTAACATCACAAAAATTGCATTTAATATGTGTGTATGTATATACTCCATTGGCATACTTCGTCTGATCATGTTTCTCTTTTCAGTTGTATTGATTTTTTCTTGCAGAGCTGTGTGAAGTGTTGAAAATGTTTATGGCCAATTCTGAAGATGTTGACCTTCTGGACAGAGCTCACATATACCATTCTCTCTTAGTCTCCTTATCAAATAAAAAGGTTTGTATTTGCACACATTTATTGTTATCATTTGATTTCATACTGGCTCACGTTCTTGCTTTTAGATCTATGGACACAGAAGTGATGATTTATAAAAGTATAATGATCTGTTTTCAGTTATATCTAGCCAAATTGTGGAATGTTGAGGCTTGAGTCCTAATGACAGCTAATTTTTTAAAACACATTCTCTTAATTTTTATTTTGAACAATCTGTTAAGCTTTAGCATCCAAAGTGCACATAAAGCTACAGTGATAGGTAGTTTTGTCATGGCCAAAGTGCACATATTTGTGCCCTCAGGCATGTAAATGCTGCCAGTAGAGTCATGTGCACATGCCTCTAGTACAATCCTAAATATTTATTTTTAAATAGAGTAAAATTCAATGTGCAGACTTTCTTTTGTTATTGTCTGCTTGATGTATATACAGGCTTCACCTCTAGCTTCATGTAACAGAATCTCGTCCTTGTGTGGTACTCCTTGAAGCACCCAAGAATGCACAGCCCCACGTCACATATCTTGCACTTCAGCTGCCTTTCAATTTTCATCATCTTCCAAACAAATTTCATTGCCATTTTATGATGAAATGAAACTACAGTATTTGAATTCACCATGAACTCACAGAAAACTGAGTGCACTCTGTATCTCAGCTACTATGCAAGTGTTTGTGACTTTAGAAAGGGCATTATTTTCTTGCAGATGCAATGGAAGGGCTTGACACTGAAGTTGGGAACAAGAAATTTCCCTCTAGCCTTCCTTGAACTGTCATGCTTTCACTTTTCTGTCCTTTAGTCAAAAGACCCAAATATCTGAAGAATGTAACAAAAATGTGAAACTTGCAGGCAGAAAACCAAATTATTTTATTGCTTCCAGCTGTTTTATGACACCAGAGAATGCAGAAATAATTCAAGTATTAACAAGCAGGAATGATTTTATAATGCAGAACTACTCTGTGAAGAAGATGGAAACAGTTTTTACAGTATGCATCACAGTTACAAGAAAAATTAAAAATAGAGAATAACTTTTTGTCTAAACATTTTTAAATCTTACATTATAATATGCAGCATTAAGTTCTTTGCCGATAAAAACGAAGTTCCATTTATTTATCATAAAAACTGCATTAGATATAGCAGTTTAAATTGCAATGTAAGCACCATAACAGGAAAGGACATTTAAACACAGAGTAGCAATGGGCATTTAAATGTGCACCAGCAGATGGCATTTAAATAAATTCCGGCCAGCTCGAGCCACCACTGTTTGAAAAGTCCGGCATTTAAATTTTAATATATGCATTGCTGGTCTTAACCTTTAAACGACTAAAGACAACGTATGTCGTCGTTAAAAGAAAGTCCCCGGTACGAATGACGCTATATGGTGTCGCAGAGTCCGCGCGTGGCAACGTTATATAAAATTAAATTTTAAAGTAGAAAATTATGTCCTACTTACATAATTTTTGGCCACCATCTGCATGGAGTGTCTGTCTT